CTGCTCTCTGTACTGAGAAGAGGTTAGGCTCTCAACAAAGTGGATTAATTCCTCTAGGGTGGTTATGATTGTAGTGATTTGAAGCAGGCTAATCTTCTACAAAATGCTTTTGGGGTATCATCATGGCATTTAGAAAAGTCAAGTGTTCAATAGAAATAGTCCTCAGCAGTGAACTTACTACTTGCCTCTGGCAGCTTATTAAATACTGTGAAATGTTTTTTTTATAAACTTAAAAGTTTCAGCAGAATCATTCACCACTAAGGCTTACGTAGACAAGGTTCCCTAGATGGATCTACAAGTCTAAAAATGTTTTAAAAATTCCTAGCAACATTTCAAGTATCTCATGATGTAAGGTTTTTCTTGTATTTGAGGATTGTATTTTTAAAATATCTAAATGTCTGTCTTAATAAGTTGTGTTGCAGAAGCATAAATAGAATACTGTCCATTTTATTAATGTTTCCCCAATAAGAAAAATAAATGTGACCTTCCATAAAAACACACATTAGGTTGTCTGTTAAAGAATTGAGTAAATGTTATTTTAACATGAAAAGATGGATGATAATGTTACACTGCTTAATCATCATATGCAAGTTGGAAAATGTTATGGGTGGAATGTACAGTAAATGATATAATATATAATGTATTTAATATTTAATAAACACATGAGCGAAATGAGAAAAGACTGGTCAAAAACCTTAAAGAACTTTTCTCAGACATATAAGTATAAAAGTACACATACTGTACTGTATTTTGTAATTTACATTTGCATAGGATCACGTAATCTGCAGTTTATACCATTCTATGCCTTTTTAATTAATGATTATGTTCAAAACCAGTTTTAGTCTAGATGTGTAAGCAACAATCACAGTGGAAATTGTCACAGTGTCAAATAATCAACAAAATGTCTATCTAATGAATTAATATAATGGCATTGTTACTTCCACCTAAACAAAAAGCTTACCACATAATCAGACATTGTATAGATTGTTTTGTGGTGAAATTGGAATTTGAGATCATTCTTTGTTTAAAAGCATACTTGAACACCTGCTGAGGATTTCCTGTCTATAATCTTAAGGTTCCCTAGGATAAAGGTTTATTAGTTTGAAAATTTGCAAAATGTGTTGCAAATACAGGTAACCCATGTAAACTTGTCTTTTAACTGGCATACTATCAAAAGCAGCTCCCATGCACCATACTGTTGTCTATATGTGGTACTGCAACAGCAAGCTACTGAACCAAACAACTAAGTTACATCTAAATAAAAATGAATGACAATTTGGTCTGTTGGCTCTGCAGAATACCAAACATTTGAACTCACAAACTTTCAGTCTAGGAAGGAACAAGTAAAAGTTTATCCCATGCTGAAAAGACAAGAAAAGAAAAACAACATTTTGGTTGTGGAGCCTTCTTCATGTGTGTGAAAAAATAATCACAGTGGGTATTCAAAGGAGAATATTTAATGTTGGTTCATTTTGTTAATTAAATAATCCATATTTGTATCATGCTTTTGTGTATATATGTAATCAGAGTATCTTTATATTTTATTAAGACTTTCATGAAGATCTATTTATGTTTTCAGTCTAAAATATACAAGAATATGGACCAGGGAGTTCACAAACTTTTCTCATGATCACAAGTATCACACACCTTCAACAGCACTCACTTTTTATACCTTAAATTTTACATCACCAGAATTTCCAAAAATTCTGAAAGGTCTGTAATTGAAAACATTGGAGATGCTTCTTGTGAGCAAAGTGTTAATTTCAAAATATATTTCATACATTCCTGCACTTGTCGACAAATGTTACATCCTACAAAGAAGAATGTGCTTAAAATACTGATCATGTTTATTTTGAAATGTAACCTATTATAATTATTAAATTAAAAAGTGTAATTTATTCAGATTTGATTCCTTGTCACATGAATACAAGGTGCATGGATTGCTTCTGTACAAAAGAAAAATGACTTTCTTGGTGAGGTTGTAGTCATAAGTTCAGATTTATTTTTACTAAGACAATGCTTACCCTCAGGTGACATATGCCACATACTGGACTGGGACTGCCATACTTATCCATGGATATGTTTTATGCAGAGGTCCTTAGGTGCACACATATACTAGGTAACCCCCTACTTGGTGGGTTTAGTGGTTTCAGTGTCTTTTGTAATTATGCAGCTGGGTTTGATTCCTGGACACAGGGGTTACAGGGTGCAAACACTATTGCTAAAAAAGAGCCAAGTCAGCCATGTTGCCAGTGCTTTAAGCAACATTCATTACAGAACATCTGTAAACGATTCATCTGCACTGTGCAGTTGTGCATACATTCGTATCGAGAACAATCAAGAATGTAATAACCACAAAAATTATGTTTTACTTTCAGCAGATGAAAGACCATTGGTGTTGAAACAATACCTTTATGGCTTTAGAAAGATAATGCCAACAGTAACAATTATCTATATTCCCTTATAATTAAATTTGGCTCAATTCAATCTGTTTTGATGCTGGATAGACATTCTGGTGGTGGTGCAGTTTGTTTGAAAGAGGAATTTCTGAGCATTGCCATTTGGCACTTTTTTAATCACCAGCTTGAGCTCTGTGTCATTTATGCCCCTGCCAATACTGGTAGAAAAATTAATCATTTTGTGCTCTCCATGGCCGCACTGTATGCTTCATTCTGACAGTCTCCAAAAATGTGAATCTGCTGATGCGGTATGCAGATAATAAAGTATTATCTATCGAGTGAAAGAAAGTAATTACATATTGTTTATTCAGTTGCAGTTTTTGCAGTTTGAGCAAATTTAACTGGCCTTAATCAACAATTCTTCACAGAATCACAAAACCCTGCAAGAACCTTCTTATGTTAGCATAGCCGTGTGACCTATTCTTTGAACTTGGGAATTTTTCAGCAGCTTAACCAGCATGAATCTGTCACTTAGCGAATGGCCAAGAATGCTTAAAAATATACAGCATGGGAAGAGAAAGTTGCAAAGCAGTTCCTCCGGGAGAATCAAGCATCAAGGAGGGGATTAAGATTGAACACAACAAATACAATGCTTATGCAAGTGGCAAAAAGAAGGTGGAAGCTTTCCATCGTTGAACAGGGATGAGTTGCATCAGTCAAAACTGGACAACATGACCCAACAGCTACTTTCCAAGGGTGATTGTTTTGTCACTCCATAGGATTCTATGTCTGAAGGACAAATTATGACATGTGTGCTCTCCTTCAGACATTCCAAATAAAAACTAAATAATATATACCTACAATTATTATTGGATATGAATAGAATAGTGACTACATGTAAGTGTGGAAACTCAAACCAAGGAGGCATTCTCAAGGCTACCTGAACTCTTTATATATGATTCATAAAGCGGTTTTGGAACTAGTGTAACAAAGTCCTTGACAACAAAAGGAAATCAGCCATTGGTGATGATTTTAACTGAATTTAACAAAAAGGAGTTCAGTATTTCCAATAATTCACTGAATTTATATTGAAATGACAGAAGAATACTGCAATGAACACAGAGAAAACAGCAGCTGCTGAGGAAAAGATAAAATAAGACAAATCTTTTTACAAAGGGATTTAAGAGTAGTCTATGCTACAAACACACTTCTGTACAGTTAGAAAATCAATTAGATCAGTTTGTACCTTGTATATTTCTGAAATATATTATTGGTTTTAATACAAACCAATTTGAATTAAGGAATGCATATACTTAACATGACAGAACTGATATGTCAGTTATGTAATACTTTTACATGATTAGATATTCTTTAATGTTTCAGCACTGAACAAGGTCAATGTCTGATATAAAAATTCTGCAACACAGCAATTGTATTTCTTATTTTGCAAAGTAACAAAACATTGTTAGAAAAAAAAGACAAGCTATTAGATTTGTAATTATTAAATCAAATGGCAAGTATCAGGCACATATAAATCCAGGATAAGAAACTTAATTTGAAAAATAGACAAAAGAGTTTGTCTTACTTTAATTAATTATAACCTCTGAGAGAGTCCTTTCTCTTGACAATAGGAAATTAATAACACGATTTGTCTTGGAATTTATTATGTTTTTCTTATTTCAAGTTCAGGATTTTCCATGTGCACATCATTATATTGTATTTAACAATAATCTAGGTCCTCAAAAGACACAATTCTTATTATTTCAGAAATAACGTTATCTAGTACATCTCTCATTTAGATTAGTGATTCTGCAATATAAGTGAGTTTTAAAAAAAACAAAAGCAAACATATTGATATACTGCATAGAGTTAATACCTGCGTCTTATACTTTGGGCTATTTTTTTGTTTTAACGTCAGAATTAAATTTTCAAATCTAGGGACATTGCACATTCATGGTTAAATAAAGATTAAAGTAATCAGAATATAATGACACATGTATGTCATGGATGTAGTGGTTCATTGAATAAGTTTTTTAAAGTTTTTTAAAAATGTTAATACTATAACAAAAATCTTACAATGTCACAGCATTCTGCATATCTTATGTCTTGAGTCCAGAATTTGGGGTTGTCTGATTATCCAAGTGCGACTTACAGCCTCTGGTTGAGTTAATACAAACATCCCAGTCTCTGTCAAGTCTTTCTCCCTTTGCAAGAACAGTTTTGCTGCTAATGGTTTCAGACCATGCTTCCGTGCAGCAATGGTGAATCTCTGGGCTGTCCTTAACCATCCATCTCCTTTCTCTGACACTGCCGGCTTAAGGGTACCACTCCTGCTGCGACATTTTGTTTTATAATGAATGTAATTGTAACAGCCTATTTCCAAATTACAGGCAGACATTTGGAAATTGTTGGATTTTGTTATCAGAGAAAACTGAAATAATAAACACTATCACATTTTTTATTCTCAATGTGTGATGTATTGATTGATGCATCTTAAAATTATATTATTTTTGGAGCTCCATGTCGTAACCAAGTAAAATATATATGAACCTTCACCGAATCCCGACTCAATCTGTGTAAATAGTTTTATTTGTGTTGTATTGTTCATGTATGTTATGTTGGTTTTACAGCCACGCTGTAGAACTTTGTTGATGACTGTCACTTTAAGAGACTTCGGTAGTTGGTGATGTCTTTACCCCAGCCTCTCAGGCCATCCCTTGTAAACTGTAAAGGTAAGCGATATTTTAGTTGCTCTGAAACAAAAATTGATTTATAACCATAGAATCTAATAAACATTCTGCAGTGCAGTTGTCTATGTTCATTTAAGTACTGTAAGCATTAAGTGACTCCGTTACGCTGGTACATTGCAAGGAAATACCATCTTTGTGAGTTTTATGCGAGACATGAGCTTCCTACTGGTCTTCCCATTTGTGATCTTTTTACTACAGGGGACTGACGACCTGTATTTAAGAAGTAGCTTTCTACATGTCTATAGCTCCATGTTTATTTTTGCTATTATACAGGTAGTTGTATTTCCTGATTGCATTTTGTGTGTTTTATGTAGAGTCATGGTGCAGATCCTTGAGTGGAAATTTGTTTTGGTTGTAAAATGTTATTTTTTCAAATGTTTTTATGTTCCTTGCTTCTAATAATATAGTTCAATAAGTATTGGAAAGAACTTTGTCAATATTAGGTCATTTCATCGGAATCCGCAGAGTCCATACCTTGAACTGTAGAGACAACTTCAATGAAGAACTGCCAGACCCAGATTGTCGTCCAGTTCTTCATTTTTCACCTCGGCCTAAGGGATGTCCGAATAAGAACACAACGCAGAAGATTAACTGCAGTTAACCGCACAGAGAAGACATCCATTACAATACCATGATATTTAGTTTGGTCTAAAAATAGCTATCTTGTTATTCTTAGATTTAAAATACATTTATAATAGTTTGACTGCAATCGAAACAATCACATGCAAGTCACTTATAAAGCCCTGATTAATAGGGATTAGAGAGTAATTAAGAAACTCTCTTTCTTAATTCGAGTAATTAAGTAAACTTAGTCTACTGTTAAGATGAAGAGCTTCAAAACAAGTGATCTAGCAAGTGTAGCAAAGCAGGAAACAGTTTTAGGCTTGATGTTATATCTATCCCTTAATCAAAGATCTACACTCTGGAATAGTAAATATTTAAAAAACTTCAGGATGATGTCAGTCTCATCTTTTAAAATTTTAGCAGCGTAGATGGAATGCAGCAATAATGATGGCACAGCCACAATTGCGCAGAAGTGTAATGGTGGTTATTGTGAGGAATTGTGTTCCCAAAGTCCACCCCCCCCCCAAAAAAAACAAAAACAAAAACAAAGTGAAAAATCCAAACTAACCAAATGAAAAATACACAAAACTTTAGTAAAATAACACAAACCACCTGCTCCTACCCCACACTGCAACCAACCTCCTCCTATCTTGAGGAACTCCTTTTCTAGGTTAAAACTCTTCCCCCTAAAATATTCTACTACAAAGCTAAAAAGAATTATACAAAATTATCATCAGAATTCTGATATACACCTTTCTCCAGTAAACACACAATTAAACATTTTATTATCAAAAATAAAATGTCTTCACTCCCTTTATGTAATTAAATATTTAAAAGAAAATACTACCCCCTTTTAATGGTATATTCTTAGAAATCGATCCACGCATGCGCCTCCCTGAAACAGGCACTACTAAGCCAGCCCCTGTTGCCATGCCAACGTTTGGGTCCTACAGGTTGGGGAAGAAACCATTTTGATGGTGATTAATCAAAACAAGGCATTTATTTGAGACACGCGAGATAAAACACAAATTTAGTTCATTTCACTTATAAAACAAAGGAAAACGGTGTTTGGTTTGAGTTTTTGTTTAATTTTGACCATATGTGAACAGCTTTACTTTACTCTGTGTGTGCACCCACAGAGCAAGCAAAGCTATCCCCGGAATTCCAGAGTAGGAAAAGTTTTTTTTACGTTTGGAACTAGATTTATCGCTTTTGTTTGGATAGTGGAATGTTTGCGTATGCGTATGTATATGTACATGTGGATACCTCACGAGTGCCAGGTTATCTGGAAACGGAGTCTCCAGTCAGACCGTAAAACCGTATAAGATATCACAATTTACACAAATATATGCATAATAAAACTATGTGCAGATAGCAAGAATAAACAACAAATGGAAGATAGTCAAAATGTAGTTGAAAAAGATTCATTGTACCATACAAGTTCTGTTTAGTACAACGGAGAGAGGCAGCAAGTGAAAAAAAACAGTATACTTGTATACACTATTGTATTAAGTATTGAATTAATCAGAGGAATGAAGTTAAAACTGTACAGTGCAAATATGTCATTTGAGCACCAAACTACAAAAAAGAAAAGTCCCCCTGCTCTTCTGGGTACTGTTCACGAGACTAAAATAACATGAACACTTTCGAGAATGAAAGATGTATTATTTACCATTAAAGTAGGTTAGTAGAACTCAATCTCTTTTTGACTGTAATACATAAAATTGTATAGAGGTTAGGGTTAAATAAAATAATTTCAACTCAACAAGGACACTATAACAAAAGGTTGCAAATTGAAGTAATGTGCAAGTGCATTCCAGTTAAATAAAAGGATATCAAATGATTTGCAAGCACAGTGAAAAAAGATATTAGATAAGCCAAGAGAGAAATGGAATGGAATATTGCAAAGATGCTAAAATAAATAATAAAACGTTCTTTCAATATTACAACAGCAAAAGAATCATTAAAGAATAAGTAACATATATCCAAGACAATAATAGGGAACTTCTAGACACTGAAAGAAATGGCTGATGTACTAAATGAGTATTTCAATAAAGTGTACACCGAGGAAGAATACTTACATGCCTCAGGCTGGGGAAGAACAAAGTTCTGTATTAAATAGTTCTACTATAGAAGAGATTGAGAATGTATTAATCCTTAGAGCATCAACACTCTAATAGCTCAAAACAGGGATAGAACCGTGGGACAGGAGAATTGCTAATGTAGTACCCATCCATAAGTGTGGTGAAAAACTAAACCAAGTAATTACTGACCAATAAGTCTGATTGCTATTAAACACAAGATTAAGGAAGCAATTATTAGTATAAATTATAACTTAGTCAAAGTTATAATTATTGAACTAATCAAGGGTTTAGAAATGTTAGATCTTACCTAACCAACATGCTAGAGTGTTACAAGCAACAGCAGTAAATGATACATACAGAGCATGTGATGAGGTATATTTAAAATCCCTCCAAAAAGGAAAACATTATTTTTTTATAAAGAAACTGGTTAATAAGTAGAACAGTTAAAGCCTGAATACTCAAATTGAGATAATGTAATTAGTTAAGTATTAAATAGATCTATTTTAGGACCACTGCTCTTTCTAATTTGTGTCAGTGATCTAGACTGGTATAGTTACTAAACTACTGAAATTTGCAAATTAGGAGAATTGCAAAACTAGGAGGATTATTAAACACAGTAGCAGCAGATGGGTAAACACTGTGCACATGACATTTAATGTAGATATGCATGCAATGTAGATTTAATGCTTTGCATGCATGTAGCAATAACCGAAATCTATAAAAAGTACAAAATGGGAAACATGAGGCTACTAACATAAGAAAAAGACTTGGGTGTTTATGTTGAGATTCATTTATATCACCGAGACATGTGGAGAAGCAATTTAAAAGCAAAATAAAATGTGTGGCTATATATATAGTTAAAGTGTAGTATTTAAATCTGTATATATTATTTTATGTATATGTGTTTTCATCACATTTTAGAGAAGATTCTGCTACTCTGACATCAATCCAGAGAAGAGAAACCAGTTTATGTAGCTTAATGTCCTACAAAGACAGGCTGGAGGACCTCTTTAGTCTTGAACACAGACAATTCCAAGCTGACCCAATACAAGTATTCAGTTTCCTCCAAGGCATTAACAATTTAAACCCAGCAAACTGCTTCATAACAGTGAAACACAAAGCAGAGTACACAACTGTAAACTATGTAGAAGTCAATTTAAAACTGAGAACAGGAGCACTTCTGTACCCAAAGATATTTGGGAGTACAGATCAAGCTACCAGCCATGTGGTTGAAACAGATACCCTTGATTCTTTCAGGAAATAGCTGGATGAGATCCTTGGATCAATTAGCTGCAAACTATTATATGGGCTAGAAGAGCCTCCTCTTTTCTTAACTGTTCTTATGTTCTTATTTAGGAAGGGAATAAAATTGTAAATATCTGTTATTACCGTTATAATATAATAGTAGGAAATTAATTAAAATTTCAACATTTCCTAAATTAATATTGGATTTTCAAAGTAAGACCCCCCCCCCCACAAATATATATACAGTATATACTGTAACAGATCTATCCTATTTGTGGTGTTAGCAGGCTAAGCAGGGCAGATTTAACTTCCCATTCCCCAGCAACAGTTTCTTTTTCCCATGGGGGATTCCAAGGTGCTCCCAGACCAGCTTGGAGATACATTCCCTCCTGCTTGTCCTGGATTAACCTTGGTGACCTTGGCTGGGGTAACCTTGGTTAACCTGGGTGAACCTTAACTGGCTCCTTTCAAACCAGAGAAGCAGTGACTTTACTCCAAGGTCCTCCCAGTTTGCTGAGCTCTTGGCCCTGTCATGAACAGTAAACCTAGTAAACCCTAAGGAAAAACTATTTTCTGCTGCTTGTACCTGTGATCTCATTCCTTCAGTCACTACTGACTGTCACTACTGGCTTTCAGTTATACTGTAGGTAAGGAGGGGGACAACCATTTCACCACCATGGGTAAGAACTTTGGTTGAGGGTAGAGGGGACATTCAACAGCAGATTGGTTCAGAAAACATTTTAAATGAAGAACAGGAAATGATGGGGTATCTAACTGTCCTGTGCATTTAAAGCTGTCAACTTAGTCAACAAGAGAGGGGTTCACTCTTCAATCTCTCTGCTTGGTTGATGCTGCTCATCCTGTGCAAATGTCTAGAAGCCAAAGACATTTATAGGTAGAGAACAATATACAGTATATTTAAATCTATTCTTACTATTTGAAGCTGTATATTTTCAAAATATTCCACTGAACCTCATGTATCAGCTCTAGCTAACCAAGTACTTTTTTATAATGCAATCCAAGAGACTCAGGCTATAATGACACATTACAGCAGTGTGGGCCCCTGTTTAAAATGCAGAGAGCTTTTTTGGTCTACGGTGTGCATTAACCTGCAACTCCTACTGTAATCATGAGTGGATGTAAGCATTTATTTAATAGCACTGATTAATATTTCACTACCTCCAAGAGTACAAATCACAACTCAGTCATTCAAGTTGTTTTAAGAGCAGCTTAGGACAATGCCTTTACATCCCCCATTAATATTTGATTGAGAGTTTTATTCTGTTTATCCTGAAAGATATGCATAATTCAAAGCCTTTTTGCAAGGCTACAACAATAGGCAGTTAGACCATCAATGGTATCTGTAAAGAGAGGCTCTCAACATTTACAATTTCAGTGTTTTGGCATTCTAATACATGAGTTGCAAAACTATAAGTGGATGATACTTCTCTTCCCTGAATGGTTAAGTTACTACAAGTACTGTATTGTATCTAAGTCTCTAAAATCAGACTTAAAAACACATTTTATTTTAAATGGAAATGGTCTTCAGTGAATGTAAGTTACACTACATTCTTCTTTTGTCTTAAGTTGGTCACTGTGAGAACTAAACAAATACTAGTCATGCTTGTAATTAAATCCATTCTTGAGAAATTCTCATGCTAGTGGATATTGGAATTTTTATATTGTTCTATCAATGTACTGCATCAATGTCTATGTGATTACCTTGTGAATAGTGTTGATTATGTAGCAGTACATGAACATGAGCAAAACAAGTACAGTCAGAAAAGACAAATGTTTAATAGTGCAATATCTTCTTATTTTGGCATGGCTCCTAATTAACTAAATTTACATAACTGTAAATTTAGGCAGAAAGTTTATAATCTAATTCTACATTAAGTAAGCAGAACAGTAACAGCTAGTAAGATGCACACACATATAAAATAGACCTGGACATCCATCCCAACCTACAGTATCTAACATATTGGCCCTCTGAGATTAGTTTTACAGTTTTGAAACTCTTTACATGTTACAGGTTTTAAATTAATTTAAACCCCTGAAATCAAACCATGTTTTGTCAATATCCTCTATTGTCCAACAGTATTATTTTTAGGTATTTATGCACACAACTTTTATGTTGTATTAGCCATTCTATAGTGATTCAGAATTGATTCAAAGAAAAAAGCTTCAACATTGGTTGCCGCTTTGAAACAACTTCCAGCCTAAACATTGCTCTTGTGGAAAGATGATACTGTTAAAACTAAAAACAAAATGTTTAACTGGCAGTGATATACTTTAGAGTGTTAAACGGTTTAGACAATGATACTGCTACAGATGTAGTTTGGGTTTTTACAAAACAGCAACACAGCTGTCATAACA